TGATGAAATCTGCTCTTCAGGAAGATGCTCTCCCCTCACATCGCTCCCACCACATCCTGTCTGAGCAGGTGCCCGGCGCAAGCTGTAGCTGTGTCACGTGCATGCGGTGGCACAGCCGGGTCTCCGGCTTTGTTTCTAACCTTGTACGAGCAGCGAGCGCTGCGGCAACCTCCAGCCGGCCAAGAAAAGACTTGGGAGACCGAGAAAGCAGCTCGCCCTGGGGATGGGGGCGATGCTGCTCCTGGGGTCGCTTCCTCACTGCATCCGCTGCTTAGATCTGAGGGTGTTTATGGAGAAACCACAGCATGGGAGGGTCCAGAGCTGAATCGCAGCAAGTGCTTAAGCACAGGCTTCGTGTCAAGCATGGGCAGGGCGCCAGCCCTTCGCTGGGGTTACTCACATTCAGGACAAATCCACTTGGGTCACAACCTTGGAGGAAGGTTTGCTGAGCGAGCAGGAGTCTGGAGCGCAGGGGAGCAACCCCAGGCTTTGCAGAAGACGTTGGTGAGCAACGCCCTGCCAAAACGGAGCGGAATGCTTCCAAACCACCGTTCTAGGTGCATCTTTAAATACTTCAGTGATGCTGTGAAGAGCTGCCCCCATAGGGATAAGCCAGGATACAGAAGCAGAGACTCGGGCAAGCAGGTGCAGATCTCAGGCTGCCCAACCCTCAAGTGCCTTTTGGATCAGAAACTGCTTTTTCTGCCCCTTGCAACAACCGGCTGCCTGCTTTGAGAACGGCAGGAAGAACAGCAGGGAACTCACAACGAATGGTACCAAAACTCCCACCCCAACAGCCCACGGCACACACAGAAACCTCCCGGCAGGACCTTCGGCTTCGCCCGAGGCGCTCGCACACGCAGCCTCAAGGGAATTTTGTCTTTCCCATGACAGGGAACATCCCTCGCTGCACACAGTGAAAATTTACACTTCAGCCAAAAGTTTCCTGCGTACCTCCATCTCCGAAAGGCCTGTCTTCAGGTATTTGGGGAAGAAACATTTCTCCCCAGAGGGCTCGGTAAAACCGCGCTCACTTCATTAGGAGCAGCCTTGGCAGGCAGACAGCAAAAGCCAGAGGCGCTTTTCAGAGTCTTAGCCTAGACTTTATCATTTGCAGATTTTCTTGAAGGTACTTTTAAGCTAATTATCCCCTATTAGCAAGCATCTTGCCTAGCCTGGTTTGCTTCTGTTCTAAGATTAAGCAGCAAAAGGGATTAGAAATGTTATTATGAGAGCCTAAGATGTTAAGGCACTAAATATATAGAGCTGAAAAAGGCTTTTCCTTCTGAACAAATTAAACATCACTTCTGTAGAGCTTTCTCACGCTGCTGCAGTAATATGACATTCGATAAAGTCTGAGCCGCTCGCCAAGCCCCGACCCCTCTTAAACTCCACAGAAATATTTTGTGTTGAGAGCAACTCTTATGATCTCTCGCCTTTTCATCTTTTTAATATGGCAGTACAAGTTTCAAATAATCAAATTACAGGGAATTACTTGCACCTATGAAGTTAACATCTAGCTGCAAGAACTGCTGTCGTAAGTATTGTTAGCAGGTTGAAATTTGCTGAAGAAAAGTTTTTGAGAAAGCCATTTATTTTTTTTTTTTCCTCCAGACTAGATTAAGAACTCGCACGGTACTTTTATTTTTCAGAACATTTGGCAAGCCCCAAGCTGGGGCTTCATTCAGAGCAAAAGAAGAGCTTGTGGCAGGTTCAGCTGGAGCAATTTGCTAATGGCCCAAGTCTAAAATTGGGATATTTTTCAGGAACATCTACAAAACTCTGGCTGAAATCTACTTCCCGTCCTCCCTATGTCCCCAGGATGTACCAGCACAACAGCCCCCACCTTGCTCTGAGTCCCCAAGCTCTGTCAAAGCACATCCTGCACTCTTTTTTTTTCCTTTTATAAAGGCTCCCCTCAATCACAGGTGTATTACTGGGAGGAAAAGCTCCTGGAAGTCATGCTGAGACAAGGCGAGGCTCCAGCCTCAACGCCCGATTGCTCTGGGGGTAACTGGAGATGTCAGACCGGACACTTCCCTTCGATGGCAGAGCCCGCTGGGTTCACGAGTGAAATCTCACACTTACAACCAGGGATGGTGAAATCAAACAATAACCTGAAATAAACTGTTGGGAGGGCTTCACATGCTCCTGCTGAGCGTGCTGGGCTAGAAAAACACCTGTAAAAGCATCGTGCTTCTATCCCCTTCGTTTCCCCGAGGTACCGGGTATGAAAAGGCCAACGGTGTGAAAAGAAGAAACAATTGATCAGATGATCTATAGAACAAAGCAAGGAGCAGAACAGCAGCCGGTCTGTGCCAGCCACACTTACCTCCAGCATGAGCCGTGAAACACGGGGAATGGTGTGGGACAAACACTGGTGTCAGTCGACTCGAGTCGAGCAAGTCAAGTGGGTGAAATTTTTCCTTCTCTGGTTTATGGAAGCCGAAGCTCACTAAGCTTCATTTATACAAACCCTTCAGCATTGCTTCTGGTTCGTTTTCCTGTATTCTTCTCCTTACTATAATGTTAAAGCTCCAAACAAGGCAGTGTTTCTGGAGAAAGGAGTTACTTTCTCTGGATTGTATTTGAGTGTCACGACTACGTTTAATATGAAGTGGCTTTCTCTGCGAGTAACTCTTCTGCACGTTCAAGCTTTCGCCCATCGATACCAACCCCTGACAAGCACAACACAACTTCATGTAACCACCTCCAAATGTCATCAAGCAAAAATAGTCTTTATTCAAATTTCATGGAAACAGGAATCACTGTACTTTGCAAGACAGGGAAAAAATAAAATAAAAAAATTTTAATATAAAACAAGGATATTGTCACAATACCAGAATATGGAACTATACTTCTTTTCCCTATGGATTACTGCAAGTACCTCTGTATTTATTTACTTTTTTTCCTTTCGACTGTGCTATTCCCAACCTTCTAAGTCCAAAAAAATATGAAACAGAAGTAGTGTGAAACTTAAGACTTAGCACTTCCACTAAATGGCGTACATCGAAGGGCAACAATTCAAGGGCAAAGGCTGCTGAAGCCATCGTACCTACCGCTCGGTCCCCACTGCAACCTCACAAACCCACCGAGGCGCAGTGCTCGCTCTCCGCAAAGCTCTTCCTGGAAAACAGGGCGGGTTTGGTGCTCTAGGAAGAGGTATCTTTAAAGAGATCCGTTCTACAGGGCAGAAAGGGAGCTGAAGAGCCTTGCACCAAGGAGCGAGGCAGAGAGGGAGCACTGCGGCGAACAAGGACAGACGTACCATCGGTGTTGGTAAAAATATACAGCATTGACATGTTTTCTACTTCAATCACTTGCGCTACAACTACTGAACACGTACAAAAAGACTTCTCCAACCGTTCCGAGTGCGGTCGCAGCAGGGTTTACGATCTGGAGCGAGACCTTGACTGCGATCGGGAGTGTGACCTAGAGGGAGACCTAGATCTAGACTTGGAGCGGGACCTAGGCTTTGAAACCGATTTAGACCTGGAACGAGAATCTGCCTTGACATTTGGTTTGGGCTTGGAAATCGACCTAGACCTGGAGCGAGACGCCTGCCACGCGGCTGCATCCTCACCCTCACTTTTTGCCTCCTTCTTGTCAGACTCTGGTTTTAGATGCTCCTTTTCCTTGGAGGCCGACCTAGACCGCTCGTGGCTGTCCTTCCTTTTCTTCTTGCTACTCGGTTTGCTGTCTCGCTTGCTGCGCCGCTTGCTTTTCTCACTCTTGCTGCGGCTCCTGCTCCTACTCCTGCTGTCATCCCTGCTTCTCTTCCTACTTTTCCTTTTATCCTTACTGCGGCTCCTGCTCCTGCTCTCATCCCTGCTCTTGCTCCTGCTCCTAGCCTTGCTAATGCTCTTCTCCCTGTCTTTGCTTCTACTCTTCTCCTTGCTCCTACTCCTCATGCTCTCCCTCGGCTCTCCCCGGTCCTTACTCCCACTCCTGCTCCTACTCTTTTCCTTGCTGCGGCTCCTGCTCTTTGCTCTCTCATCATTGTTATGGAGAGTGCCCTCAGATTTATCTTTGCTTTTGTTTCGGGATTTCTCTGCACTCCTGCTGCGGCTCCTACTTTTATCCTCTTTACTCGGAGTCCTGCTTTTCTCTTTTTGGCCTCTGCTACGGCTCTTGCTTCGACTACGGCTCTTGCTTCTGGAACGGGACACAGACCTGAAAGTGCAAAGGCGACAAGACAGCTCCACTTCAGCACGGCTTGGATTTGACTAGCACTCAAATAACGTGCACGATACGGCAGGGAAAAGAAAAACAAACAGTGGTCCTACTGCAAATTTAGGATGCTGCTGCTCATTGAAGCGTCCCCATTTCTTCCAACACAAAGACATACCTGGATCTTGATCTACTCTTGGAGCGGCTACTACTGGCACTGCGGCTCCTGCTCTTATGCGAATGTCTGCTTCGAGAGCGGGACCTGGAACGAAATCAATCACCTTCACGTTAGCACGTGCCCACGGAGAGATTGTGATCCTCTGGTCCCCTGTGGGTAAAACCCCGTGGTACTAAAGCATGTTTGAACCAGCGGAATGGTGAGATCGTTACACAATGAAGTTATAGAGTCCCCTCCTCCCCACTGCTCATCCCGGCTGCCACATCTGGAAGCGAGCAGCGTTGCTACACTGGAAGAAAACATGCAGCCGTATTTAAGGGAGAACCACCTTCCCAATCAAGTCAGAGTCTGAAGAATACAGTGAGACAGGAGGATGAAGCTTTGACTTCAGGCTTTGATTTCATAACAGAGCTGTTCTACAAAGAGTAGAAGTTTGCCCGAATTTTCTGGCGACAAGTTCTACTCCAGAATGGAAAGGGGAAAACACGTGATGTCGCATTGCTGAAGCGGTTCTCTCGGTCAGACCCCGAAAGCAGCAAATCTCTAAGAAACAGGGAGCGGGTGGGGGTTTCCAAGCTGAGAAAGAACCGTTAGTCCTGGTGCTTACAGCAGAACACAGTGTTCAGAGCCAAAGTGTTAAAACCACCTTCTGTTTCATTTCACATGGCTCCACCTGCCTCGCAGCCTTCTGCAAGACAGCGAGGACTGCGGGCCCGGTGTGGCTGGGAAGAACAGGAGCCCACTGCCAGGTGTTTTGGGGAGGACACCTCTCAGAAGAGGCCTCACGCCCCTTAATTACTTGCAGGTAACTAATACATTCTCAAAAACTCTGAACACTCCCAAGTCGGTTTGGAACCTGCTGTATCGCAGCTCAGTTTAGCCCGAGCGACGTTACAGAGAGACATACCTCGAATGGCTTCGGCTTCTGGAGTAGGAGCGGCGCCGTCTCGATCCAGGTCTGTCTTCCACTAATCTAATCTTTCTGCCATTTACTTCTGTCCCGTCCAGCTTTTCAAGGGCTCTTTTCATGTCAGAATAGGATTTGAACTCAATCACACCTTCATTTTTCCTTCCTTTGTGTGCATCTGCATATGTCACCTCCCCTGCCTGACGCATATAATCCTAGAGGAAGAGGACAGAATAACTAGTGCCTCGAATCCAGAGTCGGGCTTCCAGGCTGACCCTGTTCATTCCTGCAACGATGCTCATTTAGCCTCTTCTAATCGCATGGGCGTCAGCAAGGGTTGTAACCAAACAGCATTGGCTGTGCTAAGGCCAAGGTTTCTGAGCAAGGCAAGTGATACGCGATGGTTTCACAGAGTTTGCACGGTTAGAACCGAGGTGGTTGATAGTTTTGAGCCACACGATAATTTAGGATCTCCCATGTCGAGTCTAAGATCAAACAGGCTCTGGACGATGGTAAGTTTCAAATTAAAAAAAAGAAATTAAAGAAATAAAACGCTTGCTCTCTAAATCACCTTTTCAAAGGTCACAAACTTCAAGGTGGAATACGAAGAGGCAAGAAGACTACAGGCAAGCAGACTTCCCTTCGTGCTCCACCTAGGCAACACGTCTCATTCTGCTGGAAGAAATCCCCCCACAAGTAAAAGCTCAATTCATTTTCCCGCTTCATGCTTCCTGGCTTCTCCCTTTCGGTTACTAAACACTGTCCTGGCAGGGGGATCATCCCGCCCTCCTTGGCGCAAGCCGCCACACAGGGACGTCTTTCAACCCCTGCGGATTTTGGCGGCAACAGGGCATGAAACTCTGGGTCAGTCTGTTTTCAACCCAGCTACTCCCATCTTAAGTACACTGAAAGGAAAGCTTTTCCAAAAAATAAAAATAAAAAAATAAAAAGCAATGCATCCAGTAGAGGATTAATCATGCCATGCTCTACTTACAATTTTTAATACCAGAAGCAAAGACAAGCTTTTGGTGGTGTGAAGCGTTAACAACAAAAGACATTTGAAGAATCTCAGTATGTACCTGAACTAGGGTTACATATTCAATTACAGACCAGTTTCTACTACGTCAAAGTTGTTTAGAACAGATTTTATACATCCTTAAAAGAGAACCATAAAAGAAAATGTTCCTTCAAGAACAAGGGGTTTTAACCATTGCTGCCTTTTTGCATCTACTGTTGAAATTCTGCTCCCTGTCCTGCCCCCTCAACCCATGATGCGGATCATCACGAGTCAACCCGTCACCTCCAGCGTACTCGGAGGTACCGTTAGGCGACACGGCATTACCCAACACTTCCACCGCTGAGAATCACCTTCCACTCCTTTGGACTTAAATAAAATAACAGCTTTCGGCAGAGGTTTCGCATGATTGCTCATTCTGGAAGCATCTTTTCCCTGCAACTCTCTTTAAAACTGCTTTACGTGGTGTGGAAATTCTTAACGGAGGCTGTGCAGGAATGATGCTATCATTTCCAAAGAGCTCTAGCAACCTGACAAGTTGATGAGTAAAATCCGAAGTGACAAGGGCAAACACCCCCATCTCTAGCGAATCCTACCGCTGGCGTGATTAAAGCCTGGTTTGACAGGGGCTTAAAGATAAACCACATCTCTACGTGTTGTTGGTTGGTTTGCGTTAAAGAAAAAAAAAAGTTATTCTCCCACCGTCCAGTGGTACCAAGCGTGCAGGTGCGACTCCCAAAGTCCTGTTAATGATTTCACAGATGCAAATACGCTTCCCTATCGACAGGATGTGTGCGCTGCTTCCCAAATCTACTCGGATGCACACGAGCACACGGACTTAGTAACATGCTGGAGTGAAGAACACAGGGAGACGCCACTTTTCCTGGTTGAAACGGAAGCGAGCTTTTTTACCCTTTGTGCTCTTTAACAGAGAGAGGGTAAAGAAAGGGGCCCCATACCTTAAGATCTTGCCAACTGCAGCGGCTCGACAAATTTTCCACAATCAATCTGTATTCTGTACGGGTAGGAGGACCGTACTTATCTCTTCCGCTTCTTCTATAACCATATCCACCTTTAGGAGGTGACAAGCAGACAGCAGTACTTCAACTGGGGCATTGGAGCGCTCGCTCTACACCCCCCAACACAAACCCTTGTGCCCCGCGCGTTCGCAAAGACGTTAAAAGTTCACCCACCCGCTCGCCTAAACTCCATCCCCCTCGTCTAAAACGTTACAAAGATTCAAAGCATTAAAAAAAGAAATAAATATTTTACTACAAGCACGTTCATTAAAGCGATGAGCGTGATTACGATTCCGCTACAATTAACATGCAATTGAATTTAACATTTTCACAACCGGTTTGCAAGAAGAAACTGAATTAAGGCAGTTGACTAATGTTACTTACGTTGCTTAAAGGCTTTCTGAATATCTGACATGAATAAAGCTTTTCAGGCACCTATTTCAGATTAATCACATCTGTCTCTAACCCTTGGGATCCTCACCACCCAGGTCTAATGGGAAAAGGCTGCGGTCGTCACGTGGCTTCCTTTATTTTTTGGGTCAGCCAAGGGCCACAAAGGTCAAGGCCACTCATGGAAAGGTAACCCAAGGTCAGCAAATGGGACGGGCAGTCATCTTAGCCTCAAAGGACTCTTTCAATTAAAACATTGAGGTCTTTGTTAAATCTATGTTAAACAGCACATCGCAAACAAACCATTCAAATAGTTAAACAAAATGATAATAGTAAAAAAAAAAAAAACGGTACAAGAAATTGCGTTTATTAAGTTATCAATTAAAATAGTTCAATACAACAAACAAGTTAAAGATTCAGATCGACAGTTACATTTACAGTTACAGAACACTATTCACAACTTTGTAGCGTTTTCTTTTAAAATTACTTTTAAAAATCAAATGAAAAGGAGTAAAACATGTTTTTATTTTAAAGAAGTCACGGATACAAATGCATGTTAGTGCTTACTGCGTCCAGAACCGTAACTGCTGTCACGCCGTGGGCCTCTGGCATGCTCGACGATCACTCTCTCCCCACAAAGATCTTTACCATTTAGCTCATAAACAGCATCGTCCGCGTCTCGCAGATCGTCGAACTCGACGAAGCCGTACCTAGAGAGAGGGGGAGAAAAAGCATCACTCGGAAGAGAACCGAACACGACGTTTCTGCGCTCAAAAACCAACTCACATCCCAGCGCGGGTTTCTGCGGAGCCCGAGGAGCAGCCCCCGGGGGGCAACGTCGCTCCCAACCTCCTGAAGGCTCCCTGAGGGCTCAAGGCCACGAGCAGGACCCCACAAACCCGTTAAATATGGTCTGCGCCGCTTTCGATAAATAATTTGATAAATTTGCTCAACAGCAGCGAGGCTGAAACGTCAAAACCGGCGTCTGACAGCTCTCGTAGCATGTATGTTCCACGGACTAGGATTTATCCTGATTTTTGAAGAGCCCTGGGTTCATTCCTGGTCCTGTGAGGAAGCTGCCTTAACTCCTACGCTTCAAATGGAAACAGTCGCTCATGTCTGCAAACGCAAGTGGTCTGTAGAGCCTGTGTGAAGGGAAGGAACGAAGGAAAATGCAAAGGCAGGTCAGGAAAAAGGACTTTGTTTTAATCAGACTCATTTGGACTCTTGAAGCCTCGATGGTTTAGGTATGGGAAGCGCGGGGCTGTGCTCATGCAACAGGACAGATCTTCCACCTGCTGAGATACCTGCAGCTTGTGCACCGCTGAGGAAGTGGTTCATGCCCACTATATTCCCAATATCCTAGCCTGTAAGAGAACATGCTGAGTCCAAACTCAAGGGACTTAAGAAAACCCAGCAGCAGTAACAAGGAACCAATTTGCTGGGCACAGGAGGAATCCACCGGTGGCCAGAAGCCTTGCAGGGGCAGCACAGGCTCCAGGGACGGGCAAAGTCTTGTGTCTGAA